AAAAGTGATGATCTAATGTAAATCGAACATTTCGATAGAGAACATCATTTAATATATTTTAAATATTTAAATGTTAATTATAGTAATATTTTAATATTTAATGGGAATTTTATTGTGATTAGACTGACAAGATTTAAACAAATATAATTTTCATATAATAATCCACTGGGATTGACAGATAATTCGTGCCCACTACAAAACAGAAAGTATATGATTTATGTACGCATTCTAGGATGATATGTGACCTTCCTCACGTGTGTTTGTTGTGTTCATAGGGGCGATGTGGTTCCAAAGGATGTGAATGCCGCTATAGCCACCATAAAGACCAAGCGGACGATCCAGTTTGTGGACTGGTGCCCCACTGGCTTCAAGGTGTGCCCTGTTACATTTTTTCAAACTAGAAGCCAGTATTTTGCCCCTGAGTACTAGCATCAAAATTCATCCAACACAGTGACGTAGACCCCTGAAATCTGTATACTGAAAAGGATTTTTCATATTGCATACGGAATTTTTCTGCATTATTGTCAATCATTCAAATGGAAACCTTGCAAGGGATTTCCCTACCAAAATACCACATGCACGTCTAGATTAAACAGCAAAGCTATATTTTCAGACAATTTCCTTCATAACCAACTCAGTGGAACGGAGTTATACTCAGAAGTTTGATAGTCATTTTTAACTTCCCACAAAATTCCTCAACTTTTAAAAAACTTTACAGTTCATTACCATGTTTACGAGAGCACATCGTAAGACCTTATCCTGAGCCAGTTAAATCTAATAGGTGCCCCAAGTGGTCTTAACCCTTCAGATTTTCTGACTAAAATGCTACATTACTTATTAAACTAATCCTCCTTGAATTCAATGTCCCTAATGTTTCGTGAAAAAACACAAATTACCCTTGATTTAACTGCGATAACAAAACAAAACGTAACTGCGAAGTCACTCACACTTTATTTGACAGGTGTCTCTGTCCTCAGGTCGGGATCAACTACCAGCCACCAACAGTGGTCCCTGGTGGAGACTTGGCAAAGGTGCAGCGTGCCGTATGCATGCTGTCCAACACAACAGCCATTGCTGAGGCTTGGGCTCGATTGGACCACAAGTTTGACCTGATGTATGCAAAGCGTGCCTTCGTGCATTGGTACGTTGGAGAGGGCATGGAGGAGGGTGAGTTTTCTGAAGCACGTGAGGATTTAGCAGCTCTCGAGAAAGACTACGAAGAGGTTGGCGTGGATTCAGCTGACGGTGAGGTAGATGAAGCAGATGATGAGTATTGAGTGTGATCATTCAAGAGAGATATTTTGATTACAAGGTGGCATGAACTGAAATGTGCAATGCATAGCTAAGAGCTCAACACACCTCAGAGACAAATTCTCCTACTCCAACTGAGTATTACCGTACCACGTTAATCAGTTTGGTGCACGCCTGTTAATAAAGGCTCATCACTGTTAATACCCAGTTATTTAGTCTACTTGACATGCGATACTTTCCAGTATACTGTTAAATAATGGTAGAAACATTTCATTTGGGAGCGATTATCACATTCATGAAAATGCATGCAATACACCTTTAACTGTTAGGCCAAACCTAGGATACATATATATAAATTATTCTCTGTTTGCACAAAATAATTTTATAAGATATCTACATAGTTCTATTATAGAACTCATGAAATATGCACAATTTTTATAAGATCAATAACACAGTTATGAATTTTGGTATTAGTAGCAAGCAGGTGAATATTTAATGGGAATGTTTTTGTCGTGATTGTACAAGCAAGATACAGTATGTAATACATCTCAGCAAAAGTACAAGAAAGTCATGTTTAATGTCTAACTTGAAGGGGATAAACTATCCATCTTATGGCTTATGGCACAGTCATAGCAGATGGACAAGTAGATTGTATCACTCATGTATAACAGTGTACCTTCATACACATTAAATAAGACAACATTTTGATTACAGGATGTTTCTTTATTAGACCTCAGTCTCGTCGGCATTCTGATTGTCTCCTCAGTGAAAGATATGCTATATAACCTCTTTACTCTTTCGTAACCCTAAGACTGAACACTGCTAATCCCAAACAAAGTCCACCCTTTGACAGGATCCTGAGTCAGCCAATCACATCTTTACAGTCTAAATAAAATATTCTGAATGCTAATATTATCTTGTCATTTATTTTTAGTTATCACATTTCAAGAAATTTTTCTACAAAATTTCTGTGGCATTTCCTGTTTCTCCATACAAACTACGTTTCCAGTCTTTGTTAAGCTCCTTTGTTCCTAAACTCAGTTCTAAAAAGCCTATAAGTCAATGAGTTTACTATAGTGTAATTTTCTCCATTCCACCTCCTCACTTGCTCCTAGGTCCAAATGTTTTCCTTGGAAATTTATTGATTCTTCGGCTGTTTAACATTGTTTCAACTGCACGTAATGAGAAGAGGAATTAGTCGTGGCCTATTTGAAGAAAATATCCTCAATCAGTATTCCTGGCTACTTGGCCAATGAACAGAACCCAGGAGGTTCAGTGCTCAGCGCCTTCTTTGTATTCTACCCTTATGGTAACAGATCACGTCTTGTCACATATAGAACGATAAAAAAATTATTTTCATATATTAAGTTACGCCTAGGAAATAATTCAATTATGAAATGGTACTACAAACAATGTAAGTCTCTAACAGCTATTGGATGATAGGACAAGACACTTTGAGTTACGAGAGAGTACCATAAGGCACTTCTAGTTCTGGTAAAAATCTTTGCTGAAAGCTGGATTCACTTTGATATAAAGTCAATTCATTGAAACTTATTTTTGACTATTATTTCGAAAATTAAACATTTGCGACCCCATGATCTTAGGAACATTTTTCTTATTTTTGACCCTGGAACACGCACACGAAGTTTGTAAACATACTTCTGACTCACCCTGTATATGGATCTTAGCACATGTTAAGTGTTGGAAACACGAAGGTTATCTCTATATGTTGTACTTGTATTGTGATATCTGAATTTGTTTAAAAATTGTCTATGTTGTCCACTACAAAAGAAAATAATGAGAGCTAGAAATATCTGGCTAGTAGAATAATATTAAATTTCTTATATAATTCCCCTCATAGGTCTCTCCTTTTAGTGCCTGTCATTATTCTAATGATTTCTTTTAATGTAAGATAATTTTTTGCTATCTGCTGAGTTTCCCCATAAGATAATTCCATATGACATGATAGAATGGAAATAAACAAAGTAGACTAATTTTGAAGTTTATGTTTTTATGAGGGGCATGGCATTAGTCATTTTAACTGCAATTGGTTACTGTCCT